AGTTTATGGAAGGTAACATATACATCGACACACACTCATACATACTAGAATAGCTGAGACATTGTTCCCACTGCTGATCTTGAAATTCTGGAGCACTTTTCAGACATTCTTGGCACAGGGAGGATGGGACCCATCTTCCACTCTCTGTACCCATGTTTGGTGCTCAAGCACTTGAGGAGAAAAGCTTTGTAGAACAATCCAGTCTTGAGTAACTATCTTTGAAATCTCGGAAAAAATTAGACCTCCAGAATCCAAGCCATTCTTCTAGTTAAATTGATTTTGAGTTTATGATACAATCTGAGAAAAAGCACCTTAAGTGTGGGTTGAGATTTTTCAATGGTCTAGCTTTCACGAATGCTCTCTGTGTTGTGGTAGAATATGCCCCCATTCACTCCTGTTTCTATAAGAAAAGCTCAGTTATGTTTCTGTTAGCAACGCTAATAAGGCTTCTCATCACTGAGGAAGAATTGGTTAATATTGTTCCTAAAATCTTCTATTGATGCCCTATAAATATCTACTTTCTTTCCTTTTCTTAGGAAAAGACAATTAATTGGCAACTAAAACAGACAATAGGATCAAGAATCAAATATAATTCTGAAAGGAGTGGTTGCATGTTAATATGGGTAACTGAAACTGGTCCATTGGGGGTAGACGATCCTCCAAGGTGAATCTCACTATGGTATGAAACTGTGTGTCTCCCTACTATTGTGGAAGTTGTGTGAGCTATGCTATATGTAATCAGACTTGTAACAGACTAAATTATCTGAGGGTGGAGAAGAAGAAACTCTTTAGTATGATCTTCAATATAATGGAAATGAAAACTCATAGTTCAGAGTGTAGACAGACGCCTACACCCCAGTACAGAAAAACAAAGATAACCAGACTCTGTCTCTAAAGTGCCTGATTGTTAATGATTTTAAAACAATAAATGAAAGAACCCTTCACAGTCTGGCTGATGAGTTTCACAAGGTCATGGGTGTGAATCACATCTGCCCAAATGCCTTGGAAGGTGAGTGTAACATAAAATACCCACCTCTCCTTGAAATGAAGATTTTATAATCTGGGTCAATATGAGAGAAATCAGCTTCCAGTAGACTGGTTGTTTGAGCCAATGTGAATATTTAGCTCATAAAACAAAGACACCATGAATATCAGAAAGAAAGGAAGGGCAGGTATTGCTGAGGAAATTGTGCATGCCAGAAGTAATGTTTGATGCCAAGTTCACGGGGCCTTAGAAGATCATGCTTGCAGAGGAGCTAATGAAGAAGTTAATTCAGCAAGGAGCATTGAACTGGCAAGGGATTTGTGTGATGTAGCGAAGCCCCTTGGTGGGATGTGATCTCTCTGAGGTAGGACAGGCTCTAGTGTGTCTGAATAGTGTTCGACTGGTATGTATGCCAAGCTTATTGTGGAGTGACATGCTTAGGAAGGAATGAATGAGAGAAAGCAGATGGTGGGGGTCTGTCTGAGTCACGTGAATACAAATGTGGCAAAAAAAATACAAATGTGTTGAGCTTGAGTCAGTGTTCCTACGAAAAGCAACGACAAACGTAAATGCTGTGCTAGTGAGCTTCTGAAAGTCTTTAACTCCTGAGCAACAATTCACCAAGGAGATGAAAGAGGATTTAAATACCAGAGCAATAAAGATGAGATTATAAAGCTTGTGTTAAGAGTGGGCAATCCAATTGTGCATTTCTCCGCTTCAAGGAAGAGATCTTTCACCCAGATTGGGGCCCTTTCAATAGTCACAAGTGGGTGATGAAAAGTCACACTTGCAGACGGCCCACAGCTTGAGACCCAAGGATCCAGCTTGATCAGGGATGACCCATGGAACAATATGGTTCTTGGCCAGGCTGAGTGGTGTAAGCCAATCCCACTGAGACTATTGGGAATAGGATAATATTCAGCAGTCCCACAATAATAACAGCTCCTCAAAATGAAAAAGACAGATGGAAAATTACTGTGGATTATGGAGGGCTCCATATGTTTGCAATCCACTTCACACTGCTCTTGTAAAGAAGCAATTGATGCAAATGATGGGTGCTTTCCATGTTGGCTTTTTTTTTAACTTTAAACAAAATTTTATTACACAAAGGTTATCACATAATTGGATACTTTTCTACTTTGTACAGTTACTCTTGCTCCACAGAAAGGCTGCTCTGACCTCTCGTCTGGTGACACAAGTACCACAGTCCTGACCAGCAGGACTGCCTCGGTGATGCAATTTGAAAGCAGGACACTAGTATATGGCTCTTGCACCCAGTATCAGGAATGTACAAATGTCTTTATTCAAAAAAACAAAATAAATTATTTGTAAACATGGACAATGACAACAGTAAACCATTATGTATTGTCAATGGGAACCAGTAACTGATGGTTACAATGATCAGCCAGCCTTCTCTTCATTCTCTTCAGGGGCTTCAATGAAGGTACAGTGAGGAACCTGCCTTGAGCTTCCTGTCATAGTTCATTGGTAAGGGCAAAGCACTATTCTAGGAATTAGGACATGCCACCTCCCATTCCTCCTCCGATTCCCCCTCCCATTCCCCCCCCCCCATTGAGCCCATTCCAGGGTTTTTCTCTTCTTTAAGAATTTCGGTCACTACAGCTTCTGCTGTCGTTAGCAAGGAGGCCACCCCAGCAGCATCCAGTGAAGCAGTTCTTACGACCTTTGTTGGATCAATGATTCCCTTTTCCACCATGTTCACAAATTCCCCGAGCATAGCATCATACCCAACTTCCGAGGAACTCTGCAGAATCTTCTCAACTATCAAAGACCCTTCAACATCTGCATTCTTAGCAATAGTTATCACGGGAATTTTGAGTGCTCTTTTAATAATGTCTATACCTATTTTCTGATCCTCAGTAGAAGGCTTTAGGGAATCCAAGGCTGGGATGCAATGAAGCAGAGCTCAGCCCCCTCCTGGCACAATGCCTTCTTCAACAGCTGCTCGTGTGGCATTGAGAGCATCTGTAACTCTGTCTTTCTTCTCATTCACCTCAACATCGCTTATTCCTCCAACTTCAATACAGCTACTCCATCTGAGAGCTTTGCGAGCTGCTCGTTCAGCTTCTCCTTTTTGTATTCACTAGTGGTGATGTTGAGCTGCTCAGTGATCTCCTGAATGCGTTTCTCAATTTGAGCCTTGTCACCTTTTCCTTTCAAAAGCATGGCGTCATCTTTAGTGACAATGACCTCTCCAACTTTTCCTAAGTCATGAGCTTGAACATCTTCAAGGTTTAGATTCAACCCCTCTTCTCCAAATACCACACCACCAGTAGCAATAGCCATATCTTTAAGCTGGTTCTTCCTGTTGTCTCCAAACCCTGGAGCTTTGACTGCTACAACCTGAAGACCCACTTTCAGCCTACTCAAGACCAGTGTGCTTAGAGCTTCTCCATCAACGTCCTCAGCAATAATTACCAGGGGCTTCTGATGAACACTGGCAGTTTTCAGAGTGGGTACGATGGATTGGACACTAGAAATCTTCTTTTCACGCAACAGAACATAGGCATCTTGGAATTCACATTTCTGACCTTCTGATGTGTTAATAAAATATGGGTAAATATATCCTCTGTCAAACTTCATGCCTTCAATAATTTCTAACTCATCATGCAGGGTTTTCCTATCCTTCACTGTGATGACGCCCTTTCCTCCCACCTTCTTCATCAGAAATGATGTTTCTAATGTCTTGTCTCCATTTGCAGAAATTGTAGCAACCTGAGCAATTCTTTCAGGGGTTGTCACAGGTTTAGATTTTTTTTTTCAGTTCAGCAATTACAGCATCAACAGCCAACATCACACCTCTCCAGATTTCTACTGGGGTAGCCCCTTTGCTGATCTTCTCAAAAGCACCCCCCCCCCTTGGCAATAGAACACGCCAGAACGGTAGCAGTGGTACTGCCATCCCCGGCCTCTTCATTTGTGTTACTGGCAACATCTTGAAGAAGTTTGGCTCCGATATTTTTGTATTTGCCCTTTAAATCAATTGACTTTGCAACAGTGACCCCATCTTTCGTTATTTTGGGACTTCCCCAGCTCTGTTCAATAATCACTGTTCTTCCCTTTGGCCTCATGGTAACAGCTACAGTGTCGGCTAAAAGGTCTACACCTTGAAGCATTAAGGCTCTAGCATCCAAATTTTACATCTTTGGCATAGGCCCGAGTGAGACGAGGAGCCAGTGCCCGGGACACGGTCTCATCTGGCGAAGGACTGTGGGTAGTTGAAGCATTCTGCAGGGCAGCGGCAGGAGCACATGAGGCAAAGCAGGCCGTTGGCGGCGAGTGAGTGACCGAGCCTTCCATGTTGTTTTGAATCTTGCTGGCTACTTCAGTATCTTCTTAGTCACTGAGAATCTCAAGATCAATCAGTACTGGCTTGGGATAGATGACAGTTGGCCTTCTGAGGTCTTTTCCACCCTCTGTAAAATGACTTCATTGCTGAATGGCAAGCTTGATTTTGAAAATCATCTGGAAGAATAGTAAAAATAACAAAAAAAATTTCAAAAAATCATTATGCAGGTGGAATAAGGCACTCATTGAATAAAAATTACAGTGTCAAAACAGGGCACCTCCTTTCCCATACCATGTCCTGGCAAGTCAACACACTGAGGTCTCATAAGCATAAACTTTTATTGGTGGCTTTGTCTAGATAAAGCATTAGGGTTTTGTTCTTCTCTTTCAGGTTCTCTTTTGTTGAGACTTCTTCAAGCTACAATAGTACTTTTTCTTCCATATAAATCAAAATCTAAAACATAATTAGCAGAACTTTAAAAATCTGCTGAGATTAGTAGCTATAACAGTTTGGTAGAGTTAGATTTGGTTTGGGTATTTTTTCAGACAGAATCTTGCTGTGTAGGTCAGACTGGCATGAAAAAAATAATTCTTCTTTAATCTCCTGATGACTTTAAGATTAACACCTGAAATTCTTTGCCTTTCTAGATATATTTCAGTGAACCATTGGCTAAAATTTGACTTAAGAGGTTTTATCTAGGCGGCGGCGGCAGAGGAGCCGCGAAGACTTCAGCGATGGCAGGGGCGGGACCGGCTCCGGGACTCCCGGTTGCAGGAGGCCCTGTTGTCCCGGGGCCTGGCGTCGGCCTCCCGGGCAAGAGCGGCGAGGAACGCTTGAAAGAAATGGAGGCGGAGATGGCCCTGTTTGAGCAAGAAGTCCTGGGAGCTCCGGTGACCGGAATCCCAACTGCTGTGCCTGCGGTGCCCACGGTAGAAGCCATGCAGGTCCCAGCAGCTCCTGTGATCCGCCCAATTATCGCCACCAACACGTACCAGCAGGTCCAACAGACCCTAGAGGCCCGGGCAGCTGCTGCAGCCACAGTGGTTCCTCCCATGGTGGGAGGCCCTCCCTTTGTGGGCCCAGTTGGCTTTGGCCCTGCTGATCGCAGTCACCTGGACAGTCCTGAGGCTCGAGAAGCCATGTTCCTGAGACGAGCAGCAGGTGGCCCCCGACCTATGGCCCTGAGGCCCCCGCACCAGGCTCTGGTTGGACCCCCTCTGCCTGGGCCTCCTGGACCACCCATGATGCTGCCACCAATGGCCCGGGCCCCTGGACCACCCCTGGGTTCTATGGCTGCTCTGAGACCTCCCCTGGAAGAGCCAGTGGCTCCTCGAGAGCTGGGCCTTGGCCTTGGGTTAGGCCTGAAGGAGAAGGAAGAGGCAGCAGTGGCCGCAGCAGCTGGGCTGGAGGATGCTGGCGCAGCAGTGGCTGTAGGGGCAGGAGGAGCCCCAACTGGCCCTGCTGTCATTGGCCCCAGCCTCCCGCGGGCCCTAGCCATGCCCTTGCCTGAGCCTGAGCCCCTGCCCCTCCCACTGGAGGTGGTACGGGGCCTGTTGCCTCCACTGCGAATTCCTGAGCTCCTGTCACTGCGTCCACGACCCCGGCCCCCTCGTCCTGAACCCCCTCCTGGCCTCATGGCCCTAGAGGTCCCAGAGCCACTGGGTGAGGACAAGAAGAAAGGCAAGCCAGAAAAACTGAAACGCTGCATTCGCACAGCAGCAGGGAGCAGCTGGGAGGACCCCAGCCTGCTGGAGTGGGATGCTGATGACTTCAGGATCTTCTGCGGGGACCTGGGCAATGAGGTGAATGATGACATATTGGCACGTGCCTTCAGCCGTTTCCCATCCTTCCTTAAGGCTAAGGTGATCCGTGACAAGCGCACAGGCAAAACGAAGGGCTACGGCTTTGTCAGCTTCAAGGACCCCAGTGACTATGTGCGAGCCATGCGTGAGATGAACGGGAAGTACGTGGGCTCACGCCCCATCAAGCTTCGCAAAAGCATGTGGAAGGACCGGAACCTGGATGTGGTGCGCAAGAAGCAGAAGGAAAAGAAAAAGCTGGGCCTCAGATAGGGTCTGTGGCTTGGCACCCGTTCCCACCCAGCCGGGCGCTAGCTCCTTCCCACAGATGTTTGTGGGAAACCCCAGTTGTCCACTCCCTGTCCCAAACCAGTTTCAATAAATTTACCTTCATTTCCAAAAAAAAAAAAAAAAAGAGGTTTTATCTATATTCACAGGATAGACTGGCTTAAGACTTTCATTTTCTTATCATATGGAGTTGTTTACTTTGGGACTAAAGATAATATTGGCATTGTAAAATAAAGGAGGGATCACTAATTACACTATAAATGGAACTATTAGTCAATATTAATGCCAGAAAATCGAAATATCTACACACCAGAAGACACTCTCAGATACTTTTAGAAGCAGAGGTAACAATTTTGGTATAAATAAGCAAATGCAACATAATCATTAGCTGATGCTCAAAGGTCAGGTTGTCACTCAAAGAGTATGTATGAAGCTAGGATTGGAATGCAATTGACCTGCCAGGCACTATGTCTCCGGTGCCTCAGCAAGTATGGGGTCATGTGACTAGTTTATGCCAACAGAATGCAGATGAGGTGAAGTGTGAGCCTCCAGTGTTGAAATACTTTTGAAAAGGCAACGCTTTTTTCATTATTCACTTCCCTGATTGAAAGCGGACGATCCTTCTCCCAAACCACTGGGATAGTTGAGCTTCTTCTATTTCAGCTACTAGTGTTACCTAACACAAAGGTTGGTAATTTTTATCATCCTAGATTCTTTTTTTTAAATAAGAAAAACAACCCAACAGGAAATATGCATAACCTCTAAACTGACAAGTGAGAGGAGAAAAATCTAGAAGTAGCAAATATGACTGGCCCCACTGTAACTGGTAATTGAGAACTTACGCATGAAACCAAAATTTTTCTTCTGTTAGGCATAATTTAAAAATCCATAATGCCAAATGAAAATCATACTGTCGGGAACTGGGAATTCCTACACAGTGCTGAAGAGGATGTTAACATCATTAAATTCGTGTCAGATCAAATTAGGAAATCTGAGTAGAACTGAACTGGACTATGACCCTGGGACCCAGCCGTATACTACAGAGAGACCTTTCTTCATGGTCCAACAGATCCCTATAAAAGAGAAAATTTAGAACTTAGCTAAGATGTGAAAATGGATGAATGCATGGTAGTCTATTGCATAATGAAATACTGCTCAGCAGCTAAGCAGATAGATCAAATTTATTCATGTTAATATAGCTAAATCTTAATATTAAGTCAGAACAAACAAAGCTGGAATATAATTTTATATTAAGGGCATTAAGTTGACATTTACTAACATGAATTATTTCTTTTTATTGAGCTGTATATTTTTCCACTCACCTTCCTTCCCCTCCCCTTCTACCCTTTTCTATGATCCCCATGCTCCCAACTTACTTAGGAGATCTTGTCTTTTTCTACTTTACATGTAGATTAGATCCATGTATTTTTCTCTTAGAGTCTTTTTTGTTGTTTAGATTCTCTGGGGTTATGAACTATAGGCTGTTTTTTCTTTGCTTTATGTCTAAAAGTAACTTATGAGTGAGTACATACTGATGACAGCTTATGCTGCAGAGGATATGGAATAAAGAGAGCATTCTTTCATTGCTGGTGGGAGTGCAAACTGATATATCTGCTTTGGAAATCAGTATGGTGATTTCTCAGAAAATTAGGAAACAATCTTCCTCAAGACCCAGCAATACCACTTTTGGATATACACCTAAAGAATGTTCAATCATACCTCAAGGATGTAAGTAAGATGCCCAGACCCAAATAATCACACAGGCACTATATTAATTACAACAGTGTTTGGTCTATTAGCTCAGGCTTCTTATTAACTAACACTTACATCTTAAATTAACCCTTTTCTATTCATCTGTGTATTACCACAAGGCTGTGGCCTTCTGGTAAGGTTCATATGTTTGTCTCCTTCGACAGCTATATATGGGGTCTTCTTGACTCCTCCTCCTCCTTCTCCTCCTCCTCCTCCTCCTCCTCCTCCTCCTCCTCCTCCTCCTTCTTCTTCTCTCTCTCTCTCTCTCTCTCTCTCTCTCTCTCTCTNCTCTCTCTCTCTCTCTCTCTCTCTCTCTCTCTCTCTCTCTCCCTCTCTCTTTCTCTCTCTCTCTCCATCTCTCTCCCTTTCTCTCTCTCTCTTTGGATTTCCCACCTGGTTTTACTCTTCTAGGCCACATTGGCCAAAACAGCTTTATTATTAACCAATAAAAACAATACATATTCAGAAAGACATCCCACATCACAAGGACATGTTCATAGCAGAATTATTTGTAATAGACAGAACCTGGAAACAACCTAAATGCCCCTTGACCAAAGAACAGATAAAGAAAATGTGGTACATTTGTGCAATGGAGTACTACACAGCAGAAAAAATAATGATATATTGAAAATTGCAGGCAAATGGATGGATCTAGAAAACAGTACACTGAGTTAGGTAACCCAGGAGAACATGAATTATTAAAATTATGAAAGTACTTACTGATTATTTAGAAATCCAAATTAGTAATTACCTCTTAGGAAAGGGTAAATAATGGAATTTAAATCAATAAATAAACAAAGGTCTTTAAAATACTTGGCAATATATGAGTGTTTAGCCCACTGAAGATAAATGTGTAAAATGTCAAGGATGTGTATAATAAGCTTTCATGGGTAAGAGCCTTCATTAAATTAGCCTCTATGCCACTTGGCTATGTGCTTAAAATGTCTTGTGCTTAAAATATTTGAAAAATATTTGAAGTTACTGAATAAATTAACTGTGGATTTATTTTATTATTTATCTACACAAAAATCCGAGATACCAAATTATGCTGTCAATAACCATGCAGAAACAAAGTAGCTGACTCATGCGATTTCTCTTTAAGTGGGGGAGAGGTCTTGGTGTCTAAGTCCCAGTGCGATACTCCACGTCTGTGATTAGCATTGGATGATCATTTCTAAAAGAATTAGGGGAACATCTGAGTTAAGCTTCTTAAGGTCTTTAAACTGATTTGGATTATGGGTTGATAAGGTGAAATAATTACTCTTTATTACTCCTGACAGTACCCTGGCACCTTGAATCCTACTTAAGATGCAAAAGTTATGTCCCTCATACAATTCAACATCTACTTTTGATGATGGCCTTATGTGGAATGAAAAGGGGCATGATATTAATTTTTTTAAGTGATTGATCAGAGAAGTCAAAATTTGAAAAGCTTTGTTCTTATATACCGTCACACTGTAGTGGAAATTACAGTGATTTATATAACATTTTTTTTTCTCTGATGTAAGGAAAGCTATCTTTATTTTTTATAAAACAAGAAGAATCTTTACATTTCTACACAATGGAAGGCCGGTCTCTCTGTTGAATTTACTTCACCTTCCTACTTTCTAGCTGACTTTTTCATTATCTTTCTGACTTCAACATGCTGATAGCCCATGCACTATGCAGTCTTATTGGCTATAACCTTAAGCCGCAATTTGTTCAAATGACATCCAGCACTAAATTAGATGTGTTCCCTGCAAAAGTATCTCTATAACAAATATTACACATCCCCTTCAGTTAGTGTGAATACTTTCCTTCCATCTTTTCTTTATCAGTAAAGACACCTCAAGAAATTGGTCTTCCCTTTTTCTAGGATAAAATGTACTTATTGTTACTGTCATGGTACTCAAGTTTTTGAAGACCTAATTTGTGAATGCTTGCCACAGGTTAATCACAGAAAACTGTCTCCTTGGTTTACCAAATTACCTGGCAAAACAACTACAATCAATATTTACTGAATACCTTCCGTACTTCAGACATTATATTAATTATTAGTTTATACATGCCGTTTAAGTAAACTGCTACATGGGAATTATTGTTTCAATTTGCCAGGTGAGCAAACTGGGATTTGGAAATTTAAGCCTTCAACTCTGTCCCTCCACTGCCCAGTGTTGGTAATATATGACATAATCAGTGGTCTTCCTCGTTTGGTGGGCATCCATTATGTGGAGAGTTGCTAAACAGTATTAGTTCACAAAATGGAAATTCGTATACAGGAATTTCATGGCACAATTCCCTGAGAGTGACAGGAAGCAGGTTAGACAGAGGTGAAGTGGGAACCATGCTGCCTTTGTGAAGGGGACTTTGTCACAGGAGGTGAGAATGTGGAAGACTTTCCAGTTGTCCTCAGAGCAGACAAGCAGCAGGGTTCCCTGGAAAGAATGAGGATACTTCCTAGATAGAGACTCAGCTGAGAACTGTCGGTAGCTAACATCCATAGCAGCTGGGGGTGATTGTTGGGGTCCAGAAGAAGGCCTGATGTGGGTGACCACCCCTCCCTGACACACAGCATATGCATTTCTTTTTTAAGTCCGTGGATGACGCAGATGGATCTCTAGTTGGCATTTCTGTCAACCGTGCTCAATGTTTTAGGAGAACTGAAATGAACTTCTGAGCACACTGAGGAGTAAGCTTGCCTTTCCACCTATTAGGTCATGCTGAAGGAAACACTTTTCATTTTCATTATTTCATTTGAAACTCAGAATGATGCTTAGAGGCTTTTCAATTACCAAAGAAGACACTAATCCTAAATGACTAAAGAGCTCAAATCACACATAGGAAGATCCTCACACTGTCCAAACAGACAGACACCTGTTTGTTTGGACCATGATACATTGTATATTTTGGCATAATGTCCAAAGCCCAAAATGCCACATCAGTAATGGAATCTCAACTTGGCTTCATCTCTCTTCTGATCACATTTACTCTTCCCTTTAAAGAGTGATCCCAAGACATCTAAATATTTTAAATGTTGAAAAGTCACTGAAACTGCATCACAGTAGAAATGTCTGCTTTGTCAGTCACTCTTGTTAAGGGAGACTGTTAAATTCTCATCTGAGCATAAAATAAGCCTATTGGTCATTAAAAGTCCTGCTTCTTACCCACAGTTATATGGCAAACAGATGAAATGCCATGTGAACAAATCGAGGGAAAGTGTTTGCATTCCTCATCTGAAAATAAATGTGTAGCAGGTGACTTTAACAACTGTAAAACACCCAAGGCAAAGGGTATTAAAATATCCTAAAATAAATTGGTTATATTTATTGTCCCTCACCCATTCACATTTTTCCTAAAGTCTGAAGAATGTGCAGTGCTAAC